TTCCTGGAATTCGAACTTTGTTTAGCATTAATAAATTAATAAATAGTTTGTGTTATTTGGGGAGTTTCTTGGACTACTCTGACCAACAACTTGAAGGGAGGCTTCTCTTGTCTGGCACTGTTTTTTGTTACATAGCCTTCAGATGTGTGTGTGTGTATATATATACATATATATATATATATGTATGCATGTATATGGTATATTGCATATAATACATGTATTTTTCAGTAGGCTTTTGAACTAATACATTTCCCTCTGGTTTTTCACAGTACGTAAATATTATTTATCTTTCCTCTCTCTCCCCATATAGTCTTCCTTATTCTCTCTCCAGTTCAAGTATCCCCTATTTTTCTTACTTCCCCCTTGATAACAACTGTCTCCTACCCCTCTCTCTCGAGCTCCTTCTTCCGCTTTACCCCAACATTGTAACAACTCTTGAGTGCCTCCCAGAACTTGAAGGTAAGACAGGACATATTTCAGACTCAGGACATGGAACAGTAGAGCTAGAACTGACCTGGAAGCCTCCTCCCTGAAGACCAGCTCTCATAGTATCAGAGGATACTACTCAAACTGCCAAGGGAGAAAGGCAATCAATGATCCTAACCCAGTTGTGCAAGCTATGAACCACAACAATGACCAGCCCTGCAAATAATCTCTACTGATGCAGTAGTGGCACTTCTATCCTGGGGATAATTGACAGCTGTCTAATTGGACTTAAGGCCTGCTCAATGGGCAGGAACTCATGGGCAGTGCTGTAAACAAAGCCAAGTACACATGGCTGGAGATGGCACAGACCCTAAAGAAAAACCTACTTTTGTCACATCCCTAGACCAATGTAATTTCTTACTATGTTTTAAATATGTATCCTTATATTTATAAACAAGTGTACCTCTCATCACTCATCAAAGAAGCTTCTTTTTCCAACAGATGGAGGCTATTACTAAGTTCCACAACTGGTCAAACTCAGAGAATAAGTATCTATGCGTTGGCCAGCTCTAAGTGACACATCTACAGTGCAACCTCTACTATTAAGACTCAGGGAACATAGTGTAACAGAGGGTGTAAAATATATTAATGCACCTCTCTACTCTCACCAGCAAAGCTAACTCATGCAACAGATGGTGATTAACCCAGAAAGCCACAACTGGCCAAAGTACAGAGAATAGGGGCTGCAGAGTACTTATCTCTGAATAAGTCACCTAAATTAAACCTGTCCACCCAAGGCTCTAGGAACACTGTGGAAGAGAGGGGTGGAAATATTGTAAGAGCCAGAGACAGTGATGACCATAAGGAAACAAGAGTTTCCCAGACAGCTGAGCAGTTACTCATATGAACTCACAACAATGGTGACAGCATGCACAAGACTCATACTAGCTCAAACCAGATAAAATCCCAGCATAGAGGTGGAGCAGTGGGGAAGAAACCCCAACCTTAGTTGAGGAACTACTGGCAACCAATAACTGCTGGAAGAGGAAGAGTTGGTTTTCTTTAAGGATGTGATGCTAGATACGTTAGCCAGGCACCAGTGAATGGATGCACATCAAAGGACAATTGGGGACACAAATTTGATTCGCTAGGCCTTAATTTATAGGACAAGGTACATGAAACCTGGCAGAGGGCTATACGAGGGGCGCAGATGGGGAGGGGGTCTAAATATGATGAAAATACGTAGTATGAAAGTCTCAAAAATAATAAAGATTAGTAAGCAGAATAAAGCAGTAAAATCATAATAATTATGACGATACAACCAATAAAATTCAGCACTCAATCATGATGGAAACTCTCATCCATAAAAGAATATAGGGAACTTTTAAGATAAAATGTACTTACAAAAAAAAAATTCTACAGCTGGACTGGGGATGTAGCTCAGAGGTAGAGTGCTTGCTTGGTATGCATAGTCTAGGTTCAATCCCCCAAACCACATACAAACACAAATCCTATAGAAAATACATCATTTAATGTAGTATATTGAACACTACACCTTGGATTAGGAATGAAACAAAGATGCTTATTACTGACACATCTATTCTAAAATTCCCTGAGTTTTAGCCATTTCATTAAGACATAGGAAAAAAAGACGAGAAAAAGATGAAGAACTAGAGCAGACTTGGCTCTAGGCAGGGATAGGAATAAAGGACAGAATAAGGATAAAAGGGGGGGCAGGAAGTTGGACAAAAGCTGAATTTCAACTTCAAATTGCAAAGCACTGGACTATAACTGTACTTTTTAAACATCTCCGGTCTTCTCTACAAACCTATAACCTAGATAAGCAGGTACTGTGTAATTTACTTTTCTTTTGTAGATGATCTAAACCCCAGGAGGCAAATTGATTAGCCCAAGGCAACTCTTTCAAGAAGCAAGAGGCAATTGATCCAAGATCTAAGTTTCTTTTTAATATGTCATGATCTTTCTCAGGAAGGGTGCTGGAAAAGGCCAAAAGGGAAACTTTGTCCAGAATATAATATGGGATCTCCCAAACCTAAATAAAATTGCTACTGAAGTCATTATCTAGATCTTGGTTTTTTCATTATCTAAGAATTTAGGAACATGTTAGGCTGAAATGATAAAGGCAGTCCCTTCCCACTTCAAACTCAACAGAAATGCTATAAAAAATATTTTGAGTGAAGGAAAGAGGGAGGGTAGAGGATAATGGGAGGGGAAGGGAGAGAGAAATGAGAGAGATAAAGAGAGGGAGAGAGGGAGGAAAGGAGAGAGAGAGGGAGAGAGAGAGAGAGAGAGAATCTCGACTGATCCCTGGATGCTCGAAGTGAGGAAAAACCTTAAAATCAGAGAAGTGGAAAATTGCAGATTCAGATACAGCTTTAGGGGTTGGTGCCTGGAGTTTTACAGCAGAATAGCAGTCCAGGAATAGCAGACTTATTTCCAGGTTTTAAGGAAAAATTATGTATGGGTAAGTGATAAGTACTATACCAGCATCCCCGTCTTGAAATGATAAGCCTTGATGAGCCGAGTTACTGTAGGAAACAGTTGAAAAAACTGTCTACAGGTCAGGGGAATAGAAAACCTTTCCTGTTACAATGCGGGTGCGTTGGTCTATAGTAGATAAAAGGTCTACATGAACAGAAAATATAGGCCTTTGCTATAATCAGATGCTGTGGAATCCATGATACTTAGATATCACAGTCACGCTGAGGTAAGAAATTATGAGACCCATTGAAGTTGCTAGGTCCCTGGCAGCAACAGAAACCACCACCACCACCAACAAAAGATATTTGCACAACATAGTACACAGGGCTTCCGTTCCCTGAACATTTTCTAAGAATTAAAAATCATAGAGAATATATTTCTGTAAAGTAGAATAATACATACAGTAAGCAGGGTGCCCACTTCACCCCTAAAAACCAGCATAATCGAAAAGAAACTACAAAATGTGGAGTTTGTGAAAAGTAAGTTAATTAAAAATAAAACCCATAATGAAACATGAGGAGATGCAGCAAGGGAAAATGAAAGTAGAATGTATGGGAATGAAGTTGAAAGATACAAAAGGCACATCCACTAGAAATTCAGAAAGAAAGGATACAGGGGATGAAGAGAGACAAACAGAATAGGGAATATCTTTTGAAAAATGAAAATATGCAAAGCACAACTTTTGAACAGGACAATGAATAAAAACTGAGGTCTAGGGGCTGGAGAGATGGCTCAGTGGCTAAGAGCACTAATTGCTCTTGCAGAGGACCTGGGTTTGATTCCTAGCACCCACACAGTGGCTAACAACTGTCCTAACTCCAGTTCCAGGAGATTTGATGCCCTCTTCTGACCTCCTTGGGCACTACACGACACGGGTGTACCTATCTCTCTCTCTCTCTCTCTCTC